GATCCAGGCGGTAAGATTTCTCACGCACACTTTGTGTGTCTGCATTCACACTCACATGTGTCGGTCAGAACAAAATGCGTATGCAAGGGGGCTATATGTGTGTCAGGTGTTGCTAAGATGCTGTTAAAGTACCAAAAATTCACCCGTTAAAAGAAATCTCAGATAGCCTGGTAGATGGACATACAACCAGGAGAAGAAAGGCCGCTCATATTTAGCTTCTTGTTTGTCTGGCAGTCTCTTTATTTATCTTCCACTGTCTTGCTCTCTTTGCAGAAGGTTGTAAATAAGACTTTTTTTGTTTTCCGCAAAGAAAGAGAACTGTGTCCCTCAACAGCGCACATATACCACCACAGCCGTGCCTTGCAACCTGGCAACCAGCGACCCACCCACCCAGCAAGCACACACACACATACACAGACATTTCCCTCTCTCTCCCTTTATATATTACCCTGTATAATATATGTTAGCCTTTCAGTCGCAGCACAAACACACAATGCACTGATGAAACGTTTAGGCATCTGAATGCTCAACGCAGTTCCCACAGACATAACAAAACACTGAAAGCTTCAAGTCTTCCAATGTTCTTCTGTACATGATAATGACTGACTGACTGACTGTACATTATTATGTTTATTACACACCAACTTAACAAATGCATACATGAAGTATTGATATTGATTAAGAAAAATAGCAAAATAGTAAGAATAAATAAAAGTCCATTATAAAAGAAACAAAGCAACAGCAAAAACACTGCAATTGACCAATCAGAATCAAGTATTCCAGAGAGCTTTGTAATATTGCTGTATAATGAATTTGTTTCACATTTGTTTGGCGTCTGTATGGCTGTTTGTGTTCTCGCATGTGGCAGATGTGAGCCAGTTTTGAGTCTAGCACAGGAAATGAGATTATGAATGACTGCGCTAATACAGCACTAATGCAAAAGGCTAATGCACCATCTGCAACCTGCTGACTAGATCCCTACGCTCATGTTCCTAACAATAGACATGAGATTCAAGACCAACCTCAAGATGATAACTACAAGCAATCTCTCATACTGAAGCTGTCGCTGTGACCTCAGATGACTGTGCTGGAGTGTGTTTCGTGGTTGATATATTATGGTTGTCTAACTGGGTTTGTGTGAATTTGAAGGTGACCTCATTAACTTGTGTGGCTATTGGTAAGTGGTAATGAAGCGGTCAGGGAAAGTGGGAGAAAGAGAGCGAAAAATGAGCTAAAAAAAACATGTTTTAAACCAGACGCTTATATGCACTAGTCTTGGTAGCTTGGGTTGGTCATTATGGAAATGATCTGCGTCGGTGTTCTTTTATTTGCGCGTCGTCAGTATTTCCACCACTCCCATCAGCGCTTTTTTGGAACTGTGCTTTCACACTAATTTGCCCTGTTTAATCAATCTGTCCCTTTTTTGGTAAATTTGCTACATTTTTTTTCTGATTAATTTGATCAATTTTGCTGATTTAGATTTTTAGTTACATTTGCTAAATCTTTTGTTAAATTTCCTGATTCTATAATTAATTTAATTTAATTTAATAATATTTTATTATTTTATTAGATTCTTTTATTATTTTATTTTATTTTATTAGATTCTTTTATTATTTTGTTTTATAATATTTTATTATTTTATTAGATTATTTTATTTTCATTTGATTTTGCAGTTACAAATGCTTAGTTTTTGTAATGCAAATAAAGCACACTAAATTTAAATTGAGAGAAAGCAAGAGAGCAGGGGAGTACATGAGAGAGAGAGAAATCCTCCCGAGTGCAATTGTTTAGACTCTTGCAAAGCTGAAGGTCAGTAAAGCAGGACACTGCTATTCCCTCAACCTTCATACCCATTAGCAGTGTAATGGGAGATAGGATCTGTGCCTTGCACTCCCCCTCGCCTCTCTCTGAGGTGCCCCATCTCAGACCCACCCTCTTTGCCTGCTAAATATGTCTTTAACATGGCATTTATAAGACTAAACCAGTGTTCCACAGATTCCAAATGGAAAACATGCTGTAAAAGATGCTTCAGAATTATCCGTGCAATTTCAGTGTCTATCCAGCTAAATTTATGGAGAAATCGATCAAATCTGTGCTGAGCTAAGCTAAATGAGCTGTTCCCATAATACAGCAAATGCTGTTTGTCAAAAGCTGAACATCAGATCTTAAGGGAGCGCTGGGAGAGAGTTCCTGTTCCTGGTTTGATGTTTCATAGCCATTAGTTTCTTAGAGGTAATTGGTTTATTGATATCTGATTCACAGTTCACTGCTGCCCTCTATAGGCTAATGTAGAATGTTTTTTTATTTTATTATTTTTTTAGTTTGCACTTTGCAGAAATATCTTTATTTGAATGTATTATATTATTTCAGACTTTGTTTTTTAACACAATATCTTTATTCCAAAACATAGTGAACTGCTTCTCTGCCTAGATAGGCAGGAGCCTTCTATGATCATCACAGAACCCCACAAGCGATCAATTTAAAAAACACTCAATATAGCTAATAACTCATGCGTCATACAAATAGCACTGCAGACTAGAGACTCAGCTATTGATTTGAAATGGAGTTTGACGTTATCATTTTACTAAGCTAATAAGGCTATACTTTAATAAGCATAATACACAGCACACACACATTTGATTAAATAGTCTTTTTTAAAATATACTGAAACTGTCAATACTTCAGTAGTGAATGAAACAGTTTTTTTTTTATCGTAAGCTTTCCACACATTCTCCACCGTTTTGGATTTATTTTTCACTGAGGTTATTTTGCAGTGCTTTCTGTGATTGCCTTCAGTGAAGGATATATGGAATTCTGCTAAAAGGCGGTATTTTAGGAGATGCATAGGCAGCTCATTGGGTTTTGGAATAGAGCAGGGCTCTTCAAGCCCAGTCCCAGAGAGCCAGTGTCCTGCAGGCATTAGTACCAATCCCAATTGAACCCACCTGCCTGTAATTTTCAGGTAATTCTAAATACCTTGCTTAGCTTGTTTGCTTGTGTTTGGTGCGGGTTAGCCCTAAACTTAACAGGACACTGGCCATCCAGGACTGGAGTTGAAGAACCCTGGGATCAAAGTATATTATATACGTGTATAGCATCCCTTTAAATGTTTGCATGTATCGTCTTTCTCTCTCTCAGATGATGGCGAGGCTCGCTGCAGAGAGCTGCACCAGCGCTGTGAGGAGCTGGAGGCTCAGCTGAAGGCTAAAGAGCAGGAGAACACGGAGCTCCTGCGGGATCTGGAGCAGAAGAACGCCATGATCTCAGTGTTGGAGAACACCATCCGTGAGCGAGAGAAGAAGTACCTGGATGAGCTGAAGTTGAAGAGCCATAAGTTGGCTGTGCTGTCCGGAGAGCTGGAGCAGAGAGCCAGCACCATCGCCTACCTCACCTCCCAGCTCCACGCCACCAAAAAACGCCTTCTCGCCGGCGGGAGGGCAGGTATAAGCCCCTCCGCCAGTCCCGTCAGCTCTTTCAAACCCAGCCCTCCTCCCGCTCCCGTGCCCGTGCCGTCGGGAAACGACAAGGACATCCGGCAACCCGAGACTCCTCGCAGACGCATGCGCAAAAGCCTTTCGCAGCCGCTGCACTCTGAATACACAGAGCTGTACCGGTTGGGCGCCACAGACGGCCGTAGGGTGGTACTGAGAGATTCGGTAGATGCCATGCCAGATCCTACACCATTCCTGCAAGCCAGAGAGCCAGCGGCCCCTGCAGAGTCTCAAGCGGTGTTGCGGGAACGCCCCTCTGTGATCCCGCCCATCGCTTCTTCAGGCACACCCCCTGCGCCTTCAAGCCCCGCCCACATCCCTGTGCCTCCGAGCCCTAGGAATAGTCCAGCGCGGGACGGACCCCATCCCCGTGCTAACGTGCATATAGGAGTGGCCCATCGGATCCACCGCTCACCCTCATCAGGTGGAGGAGCAGCTCGGAAACAGGCGGAGGTGGAGACCCTCGCCGTGGACCAGGTCAATGGAGAGCAGGTGGTTCGCAAACGCTCAGGTGCAGACAGAACTGTTTAAGACTGACAACTGTGCACATTTACTCATCCTAAAACATAGTATATCAACATAGATGTATTAAGACCAATGCAGTGTATGCGGAGCTCCTTATGACTGTGAAAACACACACACGCCCATACAGATGCTCAAATCATCAACATATCAAACACAAACACACCCCTTAATACACTACGGATAGATATAGACAACTAACAAACACAGTCACACAGCTCAAACTTGGGAAATGCTGAACAATACACACTGGCGAGGTTTAGGCGAAGACTGTTTTTCCGGGAATGTGAGAGAATTTGAAAGATTGAGAGACTACGGATGGCAGCAAGAGCTTCTGTATGTCCTGCTGCTTTTATGCAACACTGTATAAATGGAAAGACTTTTGTTCATGGTTCATTTGAATAACGTCTTTGTCTCACGTCAGTTGAGAAGGAGAACTGTGAGCATGCCAAATAATTGTTTTCCTGTTTTCCTTTCCCATTTGACTTTTTAGCCTCTTTTGTGCGCGTTCTGTTCTTCTTGTCATCAATGTCCCGCTCCGTTTTACTCACGGTGCAAGCACACACACACACGCACACACACACATAATCATATATTGCCAAATGTCGTCATTGCCTGCTGATTTAATGTTCTAATGCATATTCATATCTACTCATATTTATTCATGAGCACTGCAGTAGTACTGGCATCTCCACTCTCCTTCAGCTCTCCTTCCCCTCTCACTCATATCTACTGGCTAATGTGAACAATCCTGCTGCTCCTTATTAAACTCCTACTCAAATCAACGTCTCAAAGAGGTCGCTTCTATTCATAATCTCATTGCTGCACTTACTTTTATTACGCATAAAAATAATTAAAGATGTTGTGTTGGGTGAAAAAAGTTGGAGCTGCATTAACATATATTGGGAAGAAATGCCTCCTTGCCTAATTCTAAACACAGAGGGTAAATATTTCTGTGAATATCAAGTGTAAGAAAATGCTGTTAGTTAGGGTTATTTTGCAGATGGCATGTTTTTGGGATCATGCAATAGTTCACCCAAAAATGAAAGTTATTTTATTTTTTACTCAGCCTTATGTAATTTAAATGATATCTAGAATATTTAAGGTGTAACGATCTTTTATTTATTTATTACTTTTTATTATTATTTATATGCAGTTTTAAAGAATGAAGACTTTTATAGTTCTTTTTTTTAGGCTTGAAAGCTCCAGTCCTCATTCATTGTAATTGCACCAGTTGCATGAACACCAGTTCATTCATTTTTTTATTTTTGTTTATTTTTGTTATCCACTGAAGAAAGAAAGTCATAAAGGTTTGAAATGACGATGAATAAATAATGACAGAATTTGGGGGGGGGGGGGTCTTGACGTTTGCCTTGTTATCCTCACACTTCCTCCCAGTTCTCATTATTGTTATTTGAACAAAACAGCATGTGCTTCAGATTCTATGACTCTCAATTTTCACAAGTATATTCTGATCTATTTCACGTTTCAGATTTGGTTTTTTTAAGTTTGCAGATAGAGAGAGGAAGCTGGTTGAGCGCTAACACACACCTAATGTAACCACTCCATTCATACTGTATATGTTTCACATGTTAAGTGTAATCAATCACATCTGTTTATATTACTCTATGATGTACATTTAAAATTCTTGACTGAGAATCAGAAACGAAAATTCTGATTTGGCCAGAGCGAAGAACAAATGGATGTATGTTTTACTTGAATCAAGCCACATTTACCCATATTTCATGCTGAAAAATCCAGGTATGGTTTGCATGCTGGGAAAAGGGGTAGGGATACTTAATGCATCAAATAATGAGAATTAAATTTGATTCTTGCATGTCTCGCCCATTTGAATAGAAGTGTCCTAATGCAATTTGTTGAGGCTCCAGTTGATCTTTGCTGATGTTGTCTTGATGAGAGAGAACCAGTTGGAGTCAGAGGATCTTTGGTGAATGGAAAAACAAGACCGCAGCCTGGCACAAACCTGGGGTTCTAGAAGACATCTAGCTCAGCATCATCTCCACGTCAGAATTTCTCCCAATCCACTTGTGATCGATGATCTTTTAAAGTGTGAATATGTCACACCTCCAGGAGGTCAGTGAGCCACGGGTAACTTATGCTTTCAGAGGAAAAGTTTATGATCCTTTATCTTTGAGCATGGTGTTTTGCATATGTAATTTGTTTGGGTGTTGATGGAGAAACTTAAAGATTCTTAGAATACTAATATTCTGCACCAGCCTGGTTCTACCAGACTCTTGTACATTTCATTTGAAGTACTGAAGGAAAATGAAATTGAGCGGAAGTGCGTAGGAGGGCGGAGCCAGGCTAATTCTGCACAGGTATCGACTTATAATGTAAAGGATCATTCAAGAAATTAAAATAGAAACTTTAGATACCTCAATTTAGAATGAAATTCTACATTCCTTTGAGTTGTAAACCAGTCTTATCAGAACTCTACCTCATGGTTTGCTTATGAGTGAGGCGTATTGTGGTTTATTTGTTAGATATAACAAATAATTGTGTGTCTGATCTGTCTCAGTCGCTATGGACAGTGGGATTGTTGGTGGAACAGCTCAGTTTTGCATGAGTTGGTCCACCAGCTAGTCCAATACTATACCAGCTCTAACAGCATAAGCCTGCATGGATTTTATGCTGGTTTATACTGGATTTTCCTGTGTATCACTCAGTCACACGGAATGAAAAATGACAAAAAGTCAAGTATTGTAGGAAGTATATTTCATTTATTTTAGCAGTACAAAAATAAACATAGGCCTACATACTGATAAACAGATCTAAGAAGGTGTGCAAGCGAAAGCAATGAGATCTTATTGGTTTAAGCCAATCAGCTGGTTGGTAAAGAGCTCGAGGAAGTGAGGTAGAACGCGCCCGAGCCCCTTTAACAAGATTTGCTCTCGACTCGACACACTTCATCAAGCTTATTATTGTTAATGTGATTTTACCATAAGCCTTGTTTTATTTTAAGTGTTCGCTGACGTAAACGGCAGGAACAAACAGATTAAAACATTGAGAAGGTTGAAAAGGCTCAGTAGAGAACTAAACAATCAATGAACAATATACAGGATATATATATCCATGGTGCTCTTAAAAACTCTTTAGATAATAAACTACCAGCTCTTTATCATATATTTTAAATGGTACAAAATTCCATTATTCAAGGAAACTAAATGATGAAAAATCTATATTGTTCATAAAAAAAAAAAAACATCAATCTGATGTTTAAATAATGTACAAACTTCTGACTTCAGGCTTGTGCTCACCATAACTCGCTTCCAAGCCAAAACACAGGAAACAATGTAAATGGACGTGGTCTATTTCTCGGGCAGAAATCCTCGATAGTGCTGTTTGATTGCATTTAGTCCGTGTTTTAACACTGCATGTCACACACATTTTTATTTAGTTAGACTATGTTTTATTGACAGATGCAAGAAGGTGCCCAAGAATGACCTGTGCCAATTGCCAAAAGTGCCCTTTATGACAGAAAGTACCCAAGTAAGAATGACATCACGAGTCCCAAGACTGTCACGCAGTTATAAAGGGGTCCGGCACTGGCAGCACCCGTGTAGTAATCCGCATCTGTCTCGTTATGATCTCCTGAATGCCCACCACCATGCCCGTGTCCATGCCCGTGCCCATACCCAGCGCCATAGCCTCCATACCCTCCGTGCCCGTACCCGTATCCGGGTCGAGCCATTGAGCTCAAGCCGTGGCCGACCAGCATTCCCCCCAGAGCTCCAGCAGCAGCCGCTCCTGCTACCTTCCCAGTGCTGTGTCCCGAGGAGCCTCCGGTGTGGACAGGTGGGGCACGGTAATGCCCCCCTCCGCCTCCTCCTCCTCCTCCTCCTCCCCAGCCCGCACGACCAGAGCTGCTGCCGCCCCATCCTCCACCTCGACCCCCGCCACGGCCGAAGCCTCCACCCCGACGAGACTGGACCGCCGGGAGCATCACAGTCAGGAGTAACAGGCAGTTCACCAAAGAGATGATTTTATATTGGGAAGACATGCCGGGAGACGCTGTTGAAACAGAAGGTCAGAGGTTGACTACGGTACATCCGCGTGTACTGTGTAGACTGGTTACAATGTACTAGATGAGATCATCTGAACTGTGTGTGCATGCACACACTCTTTGAAAGAGTTCAACATAATCCGGAAAACCAATAAGTCTTTTGACTCGTCGGTCACAATGAGATTTGTCCCTCAGTGATTAGTGGACACAGAGGACACAGACAGTGTCGTGAGAGGGATGTAGACAAAGCCATAATGCCACGAAGAGAAATTAGTCTTATTTACTGAAATGTGTAGAGGCTCTTAACTGCAAGTATTTTTGTCTTGTATTTCCGTAAAAAAAAAAACCCAACCACAAACTGTTTTCAGATACAACTTTTTAAATATGTGTATTACTATTTTTAGTACCCTATTGGCAAGTCTTTTTAAATTATTTTCAAGGATATTATAATGAATATATTAATTATTGTAGTTATTAATGATTAAGGGAAAAAAAATATACAATACTGATTAAGGACATTATTTTTGTTGTAAATCAGGTTCTGTATTGACTCATTTATTGCTTGACTAGAACTTGAGAACCTTATGATCTTCCACCATGATGCGCTATAAAATATCTCTATGAATGTTATGATCTGGAGTCAGACAATGAAACGAGCAGCACATGATCTTGTCAGAAACTGGGCCGCCAGTCTGGCAGCTTTAGAAAGCTAATCTGTTTTCGTTCAGTGTTTGGTTATCTCATAAGAATATTCTCGACCCCTGCACAAATCACACACATGCAACAAGACTTTTAAAAATGAACTTGTACGATTGAATGATTTTAAAAATGTATAAGGTCACAAGGACCCTAATGTAAACCACTGGAATTTGGATCAAAAGCAAATGTTTTCATACAATTATCTTCATTGACATGATATACAAGCATTTGATTTAAAATATGAACAGAAATACACAAGAATACAGCATTCTGCACTAGGAAAATCACATTTTCAAGTATGGGTATTGTACTTTCCTTCAGAAATAACAATAGAAATAATTATGCATAGTATATATTCCCTCAAAGGAGAAAACACTGACTTACGTTGAATACGTGTGTGGAGGAAATGTATTTTTTGGAAGGTTCAGGATGGCTGTCCAAGTGTCGTCCTCCTTTCTAGTCTGCTGTGCTTGAATGGATGAGAGTATGAGACAGAACTCACACATTTACACGTACACAGTGGCATTAACTGACTGCTGCTCATTCTCTGATTGGCTGAGTGAAGGAACCTACGTCGGTCCGTCTCACCGGCATAGGATCAGAACACTGCTCTAATCCATCAACAGGATTAAGAAAGTCTATGGATTTGACATACGTGTTTAGGCCCAGGGGTCATAGTGTGGGGTCGTTGTGTCTCTCCATGAGCTCAGAGATGGTTAGGTAACACATTAGAGGACCTACAGTCAAATCATGTGGAAGAGTGGGAGTTCTTACATTTACGCTGTTGTTGGTAGTGTGTGCTACAAAAATATTGGTCATTATAAGAAAAGCAACGGGGTCCAAATGTCTGAGAAGACACAAATGTAAAACAGAACCCAGATAACATACATATAGGCCATCTGGACTAACTATGTCACATAGCCTATGGCTCATTTCCGGTATGTGGGCCAGAAGAATGTGGGAGGTGTGGGCCACAACTGGGCCAGATGTCATTTGCTATCTGGGTACTGTCTGTGGGTAACATTTTAACTTGCGGTCTTTTGGACTCTCACTGCTAAATCTGTAGTGGGCATATTCACAATTATGTGTAGACCTATAGATAACCAATATGATGTTACAAATGTAAAGTGTCATAATATCAAGATGGATATTGTGGTGGAAATTTTAAACTATACACTCACCTACACCTTCAGAACTGCCTTAATTCTACGTGGCATTGATTCAACAAGGTGCTGAAAGCATTCTTTAGAAATGTTGGCCCATATTGATAGGATAGCATCTTGCAGTTGATGGAGATTTGTGGGATGCACATCCAGGGCACGAAGCTCCCGTTCCACCACATCCCAAAGATGCTCTATTGGGTTGAGATCTGGTGAATGTGGGGGCCATTTTAGTACAGTGAACTCATTGTCATGTTCAAGAAACCAATTTGAAATGATTCGAGCTTTGTGACATGGTGCATTATTCTGCTGGAAGTAGCCATCAGAGGATGGGTACATGGTGGCCATAAAGGGATGGACATGGTCAGAAACAATGCTCAGGTAGGCCATGGCATTTAAACGATGCCCAATTGGCACTAAGGGGCCTAAAGTGTGCCAAGAAAACATCCCCCACACCATTACACCACCACCACCAGCCTGCACAGTGGTAACAAGGCATGATGGATCCATGTTCTCCTTCTGTTTACGCCAAATTCTGAATCTACCATCTGAATGTCTCAACAGAAATCGAGACTCATCAGACCAGGCAACATTTTTCCTGTCTTCAACTGTCCAATTTTGGTGAGCTCTTACAAATTGTAGCCTCTTTTTCCTATTTGGAGTGGAGATGAGTGCGACCCGGTGGGGTCTTCTGCTGTTGTAGCCCATCCGCCTCAAGGTTGTGCGTGTTGTGGCTTCACAAATGCTTTGCTGCATACCTCGGTTGTAACGAGTGGTTATTTCAGTCAAAGTTGCTCTTCTATCAGCTTGAATCAGTCGGCCCATTCTCCTCTGACCTCTAGCATCAACAGTGCATTTTCACCCACAGGACTGCCGCATACTGGATGTTTTCCCCTTTTCACACCATTCTTTGTAAACCCTAGAAATGGTTGTGCGTGAAAATCCCGGTAACTGAGCAGATTGTGAAATATCAGACTGGCCCGTCTGGCACCAACAACCATGCCATGCTCAAAATTGCTTAAATCACCTTTCTTTCCCATTCTGACATTCAGTTTGGAGTTCAGGAGATTGTCTTGACCAGGACCACACCCCTAAATGCATTGAAGCAACTGCCATGTGATTGGTTGATTAGATAATTGCATTAATGAGAAATTGAACAGGTGTTCCTAATAATCCTTTAGGTGAGTGTATATATGAAACTAACCATGTTAGACTAACATCTATGATCTAACCTTATTTAACATCTAACATTTGAACAGAATGTACTGTTCGAAACCAAGGAAAAACTTTTGACTTTGAGTGTGACTGTGTGTATAAATAACAAATATGGGAAATGCAACTAGACAGGTGTCTAAACTCGAAACCAAAAACAGAGTTTGGTTACCTAGTAACAAGAGGGCTTGTCTATGAAGAACCAATCGAATTAAGTAATGTTTCATGTCATTTTTTGCCATACCTCCTTATTCTATAAAACTGTTGTATGTGTTTTACTGATGACATGAGAACGAAAAAATCTTCGACAATATTTACTCTACTGTAGATGGAATGTATGGAAGCCTGTTTCCACCACATAATAAAAATTATTTTTATATCATAAAAATATGATACATAATTGCCATTTATATCTCCCAATTCTGACTTTTCCCCATCAAAATTATGAGATAAAAACTTGCATTTAACTCTCAATTGCGAAAAAATAAAATACATATTTGTGAAATAAATATTCGCGATTACCCTTTTTATTTTTTTATTCAGTGACGGAAACTAGTAGCCTAGGTTAATGCAAATGCATAATACAATATCTTACCAGATTTGTAGTGCATATTAGGTGTAGGCACTGGATGTAGCAATTGCATTGAAGGGTTGGTGTAAACCCGATATAATCTGATCAACAGAAAAAATTAAGAATGTAAACTATTTTCTCAGTCGGATTCGAAAAGTCCTTGCCAACATGCGCCGTGTCGTGATAGCCTGTTTATGCATAATGTCATGATACGAATACGAACTGGATATTTACTAAATATTTGCTAATCAAGTTCTTTTGACATAAATGTCAGCTTTCTTTTTTGACAATTAGCGACTCTACACTACGTTTGCACTTAGATTTTGTTTGGAATACATGTTGGCACATGTAAACAAATATGTGAATCGGACTGCAGTGTTTAGGGCATACTCTTAAAAATAAAGGTTCTTTACTGGCATCTATGGTTCCATGAAGAACGTTTAACTTTCCTGAACCTTTTTATTTAAAGTGGAAAAGGGTTATTTAGAATATTAAAATGTTCTTCCCATTGAGAGAGAGAGAGAGAGAGAGAGAGAGAGAGAGAGAGAGAGAGAGAGAGAGAGAGAGAGAGAGAGAGAGAGAGAGAGAGAGAGAGAGAGAGAGAGAGAGAGAGAGAGAGAGAGAGAAAAGGTGAACTTTTCACTAAAAGGTTCTTTGGGGAACCAAAAATGGTTCTTCTCTGGCGTCACTGAAAAAAAAAAAAACCCATTTGGAACCTTTATTTCCAAAACCGGAAATCGGATTGGATTCATTCTGATTGACGGATATTAGTGATGTAAACAAACCTACTAATACACACGCACAAATTTATTCCAGTAACAGATGCATTTGGTTGTGGAGGTTTTTTAATTTTCTGATGATAACATTTTATTCAAATATAATTATCACCATATTCTTAGTTTTACAATCAGTATCATAATACAGACAAACACATGCCAGATGAAAGGTCGGAAGTACGACAAACCATAGGGAAGTCATACAACAGGTGTGAATGAGTCTAAACTTCAAAGAAAAACATGAACCTCTTTTCTTAGCAACTACAGCCAGGCTGTCCTCCTCAGGAACCCAAGTCACCATGATTTTGCCAAGACGTGTTCCTGGATCAACATATTTTGTTGAGCCCGGAACAACATTCCTGCCTGAAAACGGTCATAAACTTATCAGCGAGAAATGATAGTCGAATCACAGTGGTGTAGAAGCACCTCATTGATGTTGATCCAGGAACATGTTGTACTTGGTGAATCACATTCACCTCAGGTACCCAAACATGCATACTAGTCATACTAACTCACTCACTCAAACATCATTCAGATGTTCAGACGCTACATTCCCTTGTGCTTCTTCCTCACTCTGTTCTCAGTCATCCTTTAAATTCACAGTCTTTTACTTCAGTATGGGATACACCTCTTACCATCCTGGTCCGGAGCGATTTGAATCACCTTCTAATAGAGACGTTGGTCAGTTGGAGTTCTGTGATCAGCGTATAGCACACTTCAGACAGGTTGGCTCAGACCGCATGTATTCTCAATACATCCATGCAAAGTGATCAGTCAGTCATGACCCTTTATAATGGGTTTAACCAAACAAATAATACTAAAGTTGTAAGCATTTCTCTTTGTTACTTTGTGCTTGTCATTGTAATATAAATATTCCCTGGTTTAGTGGAATGTGCTTGTATATTATTGTACCTGGATTCACTACAGCACCAAGTAATGCAAAGGAAAAAAAAAATATACAAAGAATTTTTATATTACAAGATGTACCATCCATCTTCACTGGTCAGCAAATATCAATGCATATTTAGTGGTTTCGATTAACAATCGTTGAGGGAGGAAGGGGCAGATGACATTGTGTCTGGAAGTCTGTAGTTTGACAGCTCTGAGAGAGTCACATACAGGTGGAAGCCTCTGGTAAACACTGGAGCTGTTTCTCAATGATGCACCGCAGATACTTATATCTATTCACAAACAGAGAGAGACAAAGTTATTTAACCCTCTGATGCATGGATTATTAAATCACAAAGAAAACGAAATGATTTTTTACAAAAAATGGTAACACTTTACGATAAGGTCTCATTTGTTAACAACATTAGATAATGTATTAACTAGCATGAACTGACAATGAGCAATACATTTGTTACAGTATTTATTAATGTTAGTTAATTCAAAAATACAGCTGTTTATTGTTTGTTCATGCTAGTTCACACTCACAGTGCATTAACGTTAATGTTAACTTGTACAACTTTTAATAATGTATAGTAAGTGTTGAAATTAATATTAACTAGATTAATAATGCTGTAGAAGTGCAGTTCATTCTTAGTTCATGTTAACTAAGGTAGTTAACCTAATGAAACCTTATTGTAAAGTGTTACCACACAAATCTAATAAAAAAAACAATATACAGCAGCACATTCAGAAATTTGGCATTGGTAAGATTTTTTGATATTTATGACAGAAGTCTCATTATGCTCACCAAGGCTGCATGTATTTGATCAAAAATACAGTAAAAACAATGGATGTTTGTTTCCACAACAGAATAAAATAAAATAAAAAACGTAACCATCTTTTTATCTCACAATATGGACTTTATCTCGCAATATTTGCGGGGGAAAAAAATCTGAATTGTGAGATGTAAACTCACAATTGCAGGAAAAAAATATCCAGAATCAGGAGATAAAAAGTTGTAAAAAAAAATCAGTAAAATTGGTAAATATTATTATAATTTAATTGTTTTTTTTCTTTCTATAATTGATTATATAGTTAAAATGTAATATATTTATTGACAAATCTGAATTTTCAGCATCATTACTCTTCAGAGTCGCATGATCCTTCAGAAATCATTATAATATACTGATTGGCTGCTCAATAAACATTCCTTATTACTATCAATGTTTAAAACTGTTGTGCTGCTTCAAATTTTTGTGAAAACCATGATACATGTTTTCCCAGGATTCATTGATAAATAGAAAGTTCAAAAGGAAAGTATTTGAAATAGAAATATTTTGTGACATTACAAATGTCTTTACTGTGACTGTATTAATTACTTTCAAGACATAAATAATAAATACATAAATAAAAATCATACTGGCCTCCAAACTTCCGAACGGTAGTGTATTAGGCTATATTAAACGATATAATAAAATACTCTTTTTGTGATGATTTTAAGAAAATGACATACAAGTCCATTGCAAATTAAAATAATAGTTAATATTATGCGATCACAAGAAATTAATTCATCATATCACAATAGATTTCTGGATGGCTCTTGAAAGCATGAGACTGATATTTGTCCTTTGACGTCACAGCTCAGGATAGTCACTAGTTGAAGGGCTTGTGACTGTGTGTCTTCCTGTGGTGCAATCAGCCGATTAGCATTGTCATGACTCATGACATCATTTTCTGTGGCTCTAAGGGCAGCAGTCACATGGCATTCAGCTTCAAAAAAACCTGGCAGCAGACCTGAGCCACCATGAGCAAAGATGACACGATTCTATCACAAACTTTAAATAAAAGTATTCCTGCAGTTTCAGAAGTACAGTATTGCGTCATTGTAGCTAACAGCAGACGCCTCCAGCATGTGCTCTGAAACATTAAATCCTGCTTTAACTGATTCAAAGGTAAATCATACCTGCTTCTCAGCTTCTGCACCTCCCTGTCCTCCTCTTCCTTCAGTTTGGTAATGAAGCTCTGCAGGACAGGCATCTCAAATTTGATGTACTGCGCCACCTAGAGCAGTGGAGAGCAACGCAGTCAGGTATGTGGATTTATTTGTATTTCAGTATCAGTAACCTCATTATCAACCCTCCTTCACACACACACACACACACACACACACACACACACACACACACACACACACACACACACACACACACACACACACACACACACACACACACACACACACACACACACACACACACACACACACACACACACACACACACACACACACACACACACACACTTCATAGGGAATCTCCTCTCCCAAATCCTGCTCCATGAGAAAGATCTTGCAGACGTGTTCGCACGGTCCCTGAAGTATTCTCACTACTAATGGGTAGTCTGTACGCTTCAACTGGACACGCTCTGAAGCATAGAACACATATGTATTAGCACCAACAATACTTTAACATATTCTTCATTTATTAAAAAAACTGTTGATGTAATTACCTTAAACAAAACTGAAAATCATTAACAACACCTTTTTTTTCTAAATATATTCTGTAATGTTATCGATTTTCATTAGGTACATAAATCAACATTTGTCGACATTAGATAAAATTAGCACAGAATCAACTTTGCGTCGCTGCTTGATCATGTCAAGGATCAGTTTTCAAATTTCTACGTACAGAGTGAAACGCAGATGTTTACCCTTTTACCCTAGTGTGCTTTTAGCCCAGTTGTACCCTAATGTTTTCTGAAGAAAATGTAATTGGTGCTTGTTCTTGCCAAAACTCTTCACCATGGTGTTGTGGGAGGTTGCTATGTGGTTGCTTAGGTGTTTTGGTTACTATCCAAAAAGTAAAACATTTTTCTTGTTGTTGTTTGGCTGTTCACATTTATTTATTTTAAAAATGTGTCCAAAAGCAGATTCTAGTCTGAAACAGGTTACGATCTTGAACTGACCCACATGCGCAAAAGAACAATAACAATGTCGGCACGCAGTAGGTGTGTTGAAATGAATCGTTTCTGAATTGTTTTATTTGAATACGTTTTCAATAAGAAAGAATTTCGGTTAGTGAACAGTTTTGAAATGCAAAATGTAGAATCACTCATTTACAGCGTGTGAGCGTGTGCCTGCGTGCGAGTAAGCTGTGTGTGTGTGTGTGTGCGTGCGAGCGTGTGCGTGCGTGACTTGTAACTTAAGTACACTACTTGACAGTTTAATGTTAGTGTTTACTAGTTCTAAATGCTCCTGTCGTCTCCTGTGTAACTACATTCAGGAAGTGAACTTTCTTGGAGCAGATCAAATAAAAAGGGAGTTTATATATCTGACTGATTGTATTCATTGATGAAAATGTAGCCATGTGGAGTAATATATTGCAACGCATCGTGATGAATCATGATATCGAATCGAATTATTGACATGATAATTGCAACCGAATTGAACTGAGACCAGTGATGATTCACACCCCTAGCGCCAGCAAGGTATTATATGGAAGCAAACAGATTTACACGTTCATTTATAAGGTGATGTGCCGCAGAAGCCAGCGAATTTGTGTTCAGGCGATACTGAGGAGAAAGAGCAACGTTTTTCTTGTACATTTCAAAGTTTTGCTTGTACAGAGCTGTCACCGTAATACTTAAATGAGGATAACAGCTCACCTTTCCCAACACTGACTAACTTCACTGCCGTCTTCCATATTCACAGAGTGACCAAACAACTACCTGTATGTAAATCTTTGGAGTGATTCCCATCAGCAGAATTGTGACGAATGTTGACGCAAAAGTCTCATGAATTTCGATATCCCTGTTCAGACTGAGGGAGCATTGAAAATCATCAGACCTGTATCTGATTTAGGACCATATATGGAAGTGGCCCAAATCAGAATCGAATGGTTTGTGCTGTTCACACTATAAAAAAAATAAAATAAAAAAAAGATCCGAATCCTATATATATATGAGCGTTCAAATGAGTTCTTTGTTTTGCTCTGCAAATTAACCGTGCACGACCTTTTATCGTATAACACGATCCCATTTTAGTTTTATAACTTCTCTTTTCTATTTTCCTCAAAATGTGAGGACATAAAAAAAATTAAATAATTTATTTGGGACACTTTTGCCTGCAGCCTGAACGTAGCCTAAGCATCAGCGATTATAATAGTGATCAAAGCCTCCACTACAGAATAAATACTGTATAGTTTAAGTTGTGTAGTTCTCTGTCCACTAGATGGCGATTCAGTGTTGCACAGTCAAGTGTAAAATAAAAGAAGACAGCGGCTGACCTCCGCTGGTATGAACGAGGTAGAGGGCGAAATCATCTGGGCTGTTCTCAATCTTAAACTTGTTCAGTAACACCCGCAGCACCTGTGGTGTGGTCATACAGCTGTTGATCCGTACGTTAGTAACAGAACCATATGCAGGTGTGAACACGGCCGTCTGAACGAGAGAGACAGAAAGAGGAACAAGAGATCGCATGACTGATCAACTTATACTCAAACGATCACACACACACAGGTTTTTTCTCAAGTTACCTTGTGGTTGTAGAAGTGACCGTTGATGGAAAATCTGTGCCTTCTGATTCGCCGCTGGTCACTAGGAGACCGTCTTCTGCCCCGTCTCAGTACACCGGCGTCGCTTTTGGTTCTAAGAAGCTGAGCGGAGATGTCGCACCCCTCTGCCAAGAAAACACAAGATGAGGCGGGAAAACCAGTCACAGGGTTATTCAAAGCAACTGTTTTAAAAAGCAAGTTTTACCCTCTTCTTCTTCTTCTTCTTCATGGTGTTGTGTTGTGCCGTTGCTTGATTGGTCCTCTGGGGGAGTCACTTCCATCTGAGGGGGACATTGAGGAGTCTGTGTCTGACCCTCCTGACTGGACAAGTAAAGAGGAACAGAACAATTATTCCACTACATAAATACACAACGTTCTTAATATGTTTTGACAAAAACATTTGAGTGAACTTTGGCTGCGTCTGAAATCGCATACTTAATATGAGGAGAACGTACTGCATTTCTCTCCGATTCGGTAGGAAATGAAATGAAATGTGGAGGATTTTAACAGGGACAATATGATTGACAGGCCAGTTTACTGTGACAGGATGCGACACAGAGCAAACGTTAAAGACGCAATCGTATGACGTGATAGTATGTCTCAAAGCTTGTGTACTCTTTTGGTACACACTCAAAAGTATGCACTTTTTCTTCACAAAAACAGTACATACTGGAAACTGCTTGTTAAGATAACATAATTATCAAGACGTTTCTGGCACAAACTACAGTCTTTCATTCTGTTTATCCACCTCAGTAGGTGCTGGAAACAATATTTGAGTTGGAGCTCTCAGATAGAAATAGTTCTTTTGAACTCCTTATTTGGCGTTGAGGCAAAAATAGATCAAAACCATAAAACATTAGAAATGTGTCACACAAATCCAACACATCTGAGCTGATAGAATGCCAAAAGCACGGTCATCACAAGGATAGAGTTGCTATGGCAACAAACAAAGCAGGCTTTCAGTGTATGAGCTGCTATGGTGTGTCAAGGTTACTTGAGTTTAAAGAACTGGGCTTAGTTTCTATGATGATGAAGATGTTTATATGCTATGGTTGAGAAGTTACAACATAAGAACTGATTAATCACCATTTTATTTACTAAAGTGATGTTTAATGATGGAAAAAATTCAGCAGTGCAAAAAAAAAAATCTTAGTATTTATCAATCTTGAGCAGCAAATCATATTAGAATGATTTGAGAAGGATCATGTGACACCGAAGACTGGAGTTATGATGCTAAAATTCCAGCTTTCAGATTACATTTTAAAAAGTTATTTTAATTTGTGATATGATTTCAAAATCACAATATTCATATATTTATTGTACTTTAATCAAATAAATGCAGCCTTGGTCAACATAAGAAACTTCTTTCAAAAACCTTCAAAAATCTTACCAACCTCAAACTTTTGAAAGTCAATGTCTATTTACCTTTTGATTAGTCTTATTTTCCAGTAAAAACATCCCAAACCGAGATATATTTACTATATATTAACTAGATTAACCTTCTTGGTAAGAAGATTTTTGGCAGCGTACTATTCTTTCTCTCTTTTCATTCATTCATATTTTTTTATTTCATTCTTTTGAAAAGAAATGAAAAGGAGCAAAAAGAAGATAAACTTATAATATCTGCCCCATATCAACACAAATCAAATTACAATTCCAAGGAGGTACACTTACAACACACATCTGCTTTGCAGCACCTATGCAAAGTCATAAATCAATTATCACATTTTCCTACTAAATAGATGCATTATATTTTTCTATTAGTAATACTTTTACACTCTTCTTAAAAACAAAAAATGATATTGAAGTTTTAATTTCACTATTTAGATTGTTCCACAGACTGACACCCTGTATTGAGACACATCTTTCCTTTAATTTTGTTCTAAACTCAGGTTTCTGAAAGACTTCAGTTCCTCTTAAATTAAATTTACTACCTCTCTTGATGAATCTATTTTGCAATTTTTCAGGTAATGTTTTCAAATGAGCTTTATACATTATTTTTTAGAAGACTATATTCTAATAAGTCGTTAAATTTAACTTTATAAATATTGAATTTGTGTGGGCCCTATATTCGCTTCCATTTACAACGCGAATGACACATTTTTGTAATTTAAAGACAGGTTCTATATAAGTCTTGTTTGCACTTCCCCATGCACTGATGTATACTAGTTCCTCAATAAAGCATGTATAGGAAGTCAATGAGCTAATGTAAAAATATCTGACCTCTGGTTGTCTAGGTTACACCCTGAGTGCCAGGAGGTAGATGAGGGAGGTGGTCTGATTCGCTCATGGTCATCCTGCATCTGAAGCCTGATTGGTCGACGCAAACCCCATGAGATATTGAGAAGTCCTTCTATGATCAGCTCCTCCTCTTCCTGCCGGCAGAATACATACAACATACATATACACTCGGCAGAATACAACATACATATACACTCGTACTTGAGTTTGTTATGCATAAAGGGCCTGAGTATTAGGTTTAAGTGACCCACAAGCCACCTTTTGACTTTTAGAATAAATGAGGCTTATAAATGATAAATACAGCATGTCAGTAATTTGGCACCTGGGCAAGCTGCATTTACAGACACAAAAGAAGCCTCAGTCACCCCCACACAGGGGCGCACATCCCCTCCAGACACAGACGCGTATTACTCCCCTGACAATAGTGAATAATTGAGAAAGCACAGAAGGGGTCAAACGCTTCCCCACCTGCCACACAATGAGTGTAAAACTCTTTCTTACCTCTCTGTGTCGTAGCTGCAGGTTCTTCCCTTCATAGTAGAGATTGTAGGTCTTTAAATACGAGAGAATGCTGTTCCTGAGAAAGAACAAAGTCTTGCTTAATAATTCATTTCATCTTTAAAATGTTAAACTTATATCTTGTGTCAGAGGGGGTGTGTCTTAAAAGTTCATCGGGTGCAACCATGTGATAACCTTTCCAATAGTTTTTTTTTTTTTTTTTACTGAATTGGCAACTGAATAAAGAAATAAAACCAGCAAATATTGTATTAAAAATGCCATTTAAAAGTTGCAGTTATTTATTAAAGGGATAGTTCACTTTGAAATTAATTTTTGGTATGTTTTAGCTTACCTCAAGGGCATCCAAGATGTAGGTGTCTTTGTTTAAAGTGCGTGTACGTCACTCATTGTTTACACAGAACAGAGATTGTAGGTAAGACGGCTAATTAAAATGGTACTAATTTGCGCTTATCCGGGATGTTTAAACCGTCGTAAAAAAAAAAAAAAAAAAAAAAAAAATATTGTATGAGTGACGTACACGCGCGAGATATCACTTCCGGCGCTTTCCGGAAAAGACCGAAGCGCCCGCGCCCTCAGATCACTTGAACGTGGCTGTGGTTACAAGAGGTAAAAACGATATAAATACTGTTCGTTTTCTCACACAAACCGCTCGTTTCGTGTCTTAGGCCATCAATGTGTACTTACATTTACGTGTCATTAAATCATGTTTAATTTGGACTTCTCTGTGCATGCTCTTTGAGGTGGTGACCATAGACCTGCATTATATGACTGACAGACAAGAACGGTTTGACCTAAAAATATCAAAATTGAAACTACTGCGGAAACAAAGACACCTACATCTTGGATGCCCTTGAGGTAAGCTAAAACATTCCAAAAATTAATTTCAAAGTGAACTATCCCTTTAATTTACTGTTTGATTGAAACATATACATGCATATATGTATATATTTCATCGATGTGTATTTATTTGTCAATTTATAAAGTGATTTATTTCTTTTGCATATATATATATAATATACAGTATATACACACACAAACATATATATCTATATATATGTATATGCAAAAGAAATAAATCACTTTATAAATTGACAAATAAATACACATCGATGAAATATATACATATTTGCATGTATGTTTCAATCAAACAGTAAATTAATAAATTTGACTGTTATATACATATATATATTAGGGGTGGTGTAACGATATTTGAACCGAACCGAAAAACCGCGATACACCACCCACGATACGTATCGCGATACTCTCATGGCGAACCGAACACGCCCCGGCCCCTGCTGCCCCGCCCAGCCCCGGCTCATTGCACCTCATGTGTTATGTGTACACAACGAATACAGGGCTGTTGCCTAACCACCATTAACCACATATAATCGCAATAAGCTCAGTGTTTTGTTACTTTTGATAATAAGCAAGGTGTAATCTTTCAAATTATGTCTATTTGATCACGAAATGCAAACAATAAATGCCGTTTTGGCGCTCTTAGATGTGGCGTGACAGATATCACCGTATGCATGCGGCAGCGCGGAGCGCGATCATCTCTTCCTCAGTTACAGAATAAACATGAATGGACACCCGAAGGTATGTTGAAAGATACAGTATACTTACTGAAAGGCATCATAACTCGTGTAAACACTCAATCAGTGTTTCAACAGCGGAAATACGTCAATAAAACGCTTAGTTTTTCACATAGCTTTATATTTACCTCAGGCAAGTCATTCAGTGTCCACAGCTTGCTGGTTTGCTAACTCTTTCACTAAATAAATGCTATATATTAGCCTATATATTATATTTTACTTAACCTGTTTATGATATCTTGATTATTTAATGTATGTTTAAAATAGTTGTCATGAAAATAACAGCAACTGTGTAGATTATTATATAACAATAACAAATTAGAGTAAAAACATGTTAATGCAAAAATTGCCTTATGTGCAGTTTACATGTTTTTATACAATTTGTTATTTGAGTGTTGATTATTATTATATCATTTAGGCTCAAAGTAGGCTCTGTTGTTAAGCTTTAATGTTATAGTAATGTGCAAGTAAGGGCTGTAGTTTACAGCATTAGCAGATAATTTTGTTATCTTTGAGAAACGTTTACTTGTAATTGAATTAATTTAAAGACAAGGACACAATTTGTTCATTAAAGCACTGTTTAATAAAAAATAAAAGCAATTTTAGCTTTCTAAACCCCCCCACCCCACCGAAATGAACCGAACCGAACCGAGACCTCAAAACCGTGGGACGAACCGAACCATCAGGTTTGTGTATCGTTACACCCCTAATATATATATATATATATATATACTATACAGTATATACACACACAAACATATATATATATATATATATACACACACATATTTTATGTAAACAAAAAGTTCTATGTTGGATGCGATTAATCGATTTGTGTGTGTATATACATATATATATATATATATATATATATATATGTGTGTGTGTTATTATTGTATGTATATGATATATATATGTAAATGTCCTGTACTTTCAACTGACATGGATTGTAAATAATAATAATAATAATAACAATAACTAAAATGTAACATTAATGTAATATATTTATATACATTATTATATGCAGTATCTAATCTGGTTACTAGGCACATTCTTTTCTACAATGTGATTAACTATTTTTAACTTTAATCTAGTAGGATTTTTTAAAGCTGCAGTCCGGCGTTTTTCCTCTTTGTCGCCATCTCTGTTCGAAATCTGCAATTGCAGTCATTCGCGGAATTATCAACTGTACGTGAGTTGTACTTCGACACAGCACTGTGCGGATGAACACAATGTTTGAGGAGAGTGTGAGGCTGTCAATCACCGCGCCGGTGTGGATACTGTCATTAAGAATCACAGATTTTTCTTTTTGGAAGTATGACCAACATAATAATTTTCACCGGAAAATGTCATCTGAAAAAGTAAGTAACATCCACTTTTTGTTCTGGTTCTGACATTGCGGTAAATCGCGCTGATTATATCTAACAATCGCTTATAAGTTATCATATCACGCAAAACCATGCAAATTATACTTTGTTCTCAAATTGTTAATGTTCAACATCAGCATTGCGTGACAACATGTAATGTCCTTCCAATATTATCCTTGTTTTCGCATGGGGCCGGTTGCAGTCTCTTTTTTTCTGTAGCCACTCCGAAGTCCGAAACGAAACAAAGTCTTTTGCATTTTACAACGGGTGAGTCTCCAGTTGTCACTGGTGATTGTCGTTTGAACCTTTCTGGATCCGCCATCAAATTGATAAGTTGAATTATATCAAGTGCTGTGAGAAAAGGCTATAAATCTCCACCACCAACATCCTCACTCACAATATAGCCGACTAGCCAAGACTCTTCTTTATGTGTACACAGCGCCGCCGCTCCCACCACGCGTGCAGTAGGGCACCAATGCTGAGTCATAATAATTATAATGCCGATATTATATCAGTATATAAATATTATTAGGCACTTTTTAGTGATGTACATAACAAAACAGGTGGAACAAGAGTATTTAATTGCTCTAGAAAGTAACGATGGTGCCGCCGCCGCCTCAGTGGTCCGTTGGATTGCGCGTTAAAAAGTTAAACTGGCAAAAATAAACTTTTTTTTTCTCGGAGGATGGGGGGGGGGGGCAATTATGGGGGGGGGGGAATCATAAAGGAATTATGCTTAGGGCACCAAAATGGCTAGCAGCGGTACTGTGTGTACAGATGTGACGTAATGACGCAAAGACATGCTCGAATCTCCCGCGGAAATCCACCAGTACCACTGGAGTTAAAAACATTATTACAAGCAAATGAATCGAGCTAAGGCAAGCAGATAGTTTTGAACACTGGCTGGTTATGTATTTTCTCAAATATGTATTTTGGGTAATTTTTAACCCCAAAAAAGCTACGGACTGCAGCTTTAATTAAGATGAAATCAATTTAATTCAAATCAATGTTCATGTCCATGTATTCTGTTGGGTTTATTTGTAATATTGACACTTACTGTACATAATCCCTTATATAGTGAATACATTATTACAGAACCGTAACAGGACAAAAAAAGCAACCATTAGTTCAGATGTTATCAAGAGTTTCATAAGATTTATACTCACTTGCTGATGAATTTGTTCTCTCCAACCCGTACCCTGTCATTCCTGTCATCCATTTTATCCCAGCCACGACTGCATGGAAGAACTCTAGAGAGACCGAGAGGGAGGAGAACGGAGAAAGAGAATCTTTCTGTTTCTTGTTTTAACATCAAAGAATTAACTCTTCGATATCTAGGTCAGAGAAAAAAAGAGGGTAAGAGAACGACAAACCCTTAAAACAAAACAAATAATGTATGCATATCTCACACTCCTCACTAGCTCGTGTAGTTTTGATATCTCTAGACAAGAGACTCATGCTCTGTTCTATATCACACAAACCCATGTGAAGCCGACATCTGCAAGTCACAGCTGAAAGTAAACTATTCATGAGGATGTGACCAGAATAGACATGCCGGAGCACATACTGGAATGAATAAGGGGATTGAAACAGTTCATCAACACATTTAAAGACCCCATGAATTCAAAGCTATAGTTTTGTGTTCTTTAGTCCACGTGTGTTAGCTTTGAGGTCACCTATAGTATAACTCACCCCCCCCCAAAAAAACAAACAAACATATACTGACTCTGAAAAACCACGTGTAACCATATGTCCCTCCACACATGTTTGAGAACTTTCTAGTAACTTGGTGGAAGAGTGGAGTAACATCTCACAGCAAGAACTGGAAAATCTGGCACAGTCCATGAGGTTGAGATGTATTATAGAACTTAAATCAGCTGTCCAGGGACTCATTATTCCATTTCTGTTTGTCATATGTGAAATTTGTTCAGTTTATGTCTCAGTTGTTGAATGTTATGTTCATACAAATATTTCCACGTTAAGAAATAAACAAAAAAAAGTTGAACGTTTCTTTAACTGCTACAATCGTCAAAGTTTGGGGTCAGTAAGATTTTTATTTTTGAAGAAATTAATACTTTTATTCATCAAGGACACATTCAATTGATCAACATTTATAATGTTACAAAAATATATATAATAAATGCTGTTCTTTTCAACTAACAAAGAAAAAAAAAAATCCACATAAATATTAAGCAGTACTGTTTTCAACATTGATAATAATCAGAAATGTTTCTTAAATTACATTTAAAAATATATTCAAATAGAAATCAATTATTTTAAACTATAATTTTAAACTTTATATACTCATATCTGGCATTTAAATTTGATGTGTTTCTTCTGGGAAAACAAAAACAAAACACTGATGACTCATGCTGCACTACACAGATTGTTGTCCAATCAAATGATCTATTAAGAGTGTCCCGCCCCCCAATTTGATCAGACTTTAAACATTTAAACTGGTAAAAGATGCTCAGTCATAATGATGATCAATATATAAAAAAAAATTAGGAATGCCATTGATTGAAATACAATCAGTGCTATAGGATAATACAGTATTGTCCCTTGTGGTTCATTACAGATGAAACCAGAGACTAAAATGAAACAAGATATAAAAAGCCTACAAGCAAAATAGCCAAGAGTGCAATAATCGAAAGAAAATATTTTTTAAATTCATCTATAGAAGTTCCCCAACAGTTCACAGAAATGCTTTATATATTTCCAATACAAAATTTGAAAGACGACAGAGTAGAGTACATAAACTACTTATACCTTTTCTATAAGGCTCAATGGCTGACACATAAACTCATGTTTGGAGGTTCTCCTGGCACAATACAAACTGCTCTACTCAAGGCTTCCTTCCTCACCAGCTGGAAAGGCTTTACTGACGCTTCCGGAGACGGGGACAGGTGCGGGACAACAGGGGTACTGTTACCCTGCTGATACTGAGTGACTACAGCTCTGAACCAATCCTAGCTGTTGCCGTTTTATTGTATCTCGTACTGTCATTCCAACTAAGCTGAAATGAATAGTGTCAAACCATATCTAACTTTAATAGAACGGTACATTTTCAAACTGAACCTAACGTTAAAGGAACTAAAAGTGAGGAAATTGCAGTGACTATCTGCATAGTACGTGGTTTCATAACGTTGTAGGAGCGAATCAGTGTTACGGGAATAGTCCACCCGAAAAAAAAAGAAAATTCTGTAATTATTTATTCACCCTCATGTCATTTAAAGCCTGAAATACTTTCATTGTTCTGTGTAAGATTAAAGAAGATATTTTGAAGAATGTTGATTGATAATCAAACCATTTCGTTTCCAATTGACTTCCATAATATGGACAGGAAATACAACGGAAGTCAATGGGATCCAAAAATGTTTGATTACAAATGTTCTTTAAAGTATCTTGTTTTATATTCCATAACAAAGACAGTCACATACAGGTTTGGATTGGAACGAAACGAGGGTGAGTAAATGATGACAGAATTTTCACATTTATTCATCTTCATCTGAAATACAACAAAACAGCACATTTCAAATGCCACAAGACATTGATTTAAATCCTGACATTTATCAACAGACTGAAGAATACTTTCCATTATCTGTCTCACTATGTCATGGCATGTCTTAAACTAGACATAAATAGACTTAACTGAGCGCACATTACCTTATCTCTGATGTAAAAGGCTCTTTTGCAGTCTTTAAATGCTAAGGGAGTGCTGAACCCATGTGACACTCTCCTAAACTCTTCCTCTCAGATTTGCACAGCGGAAACTGACACAAGGTTTCAGACTTCCTCAATTGTGGTTTCGCTGGCTGCCTCCTCCTCCCTTTATCTCCTTGTGTCTGTTTCTCTCAAGTTCACCAATGTCTTTATGCACACCACCATCAATCATATACCAACAAAAGATATATGAAAAACCTATCAACTTTATGAGCACTTAGAATCACTTTAGGAGAACTACTTAGTGTACACAAACACACACAGACATGAGCACGTAACTCAAGGGTCCGGTACACACACAAATACACACAAACAAGGCACAGTTGACCTAGTGAGACCCTTAAAGGCCTCATTCAGTCCCTGACAAAATCCTGCTTGATTATTCATTCACAAGATTATTATCCCACATGCAAAGTTGCAAACGGGTCTCTCTTTTGTACGGGCATGTTTTCTTATCAACACTACCATCTCCTGACCCAGCGTTAAGGATGTGTGGCTGTTAGTGTGTGTGTGTGGCCCCTCCCACGTCTTTCATACACACCACTCGCTGCGCTCAATCAGGAGATGATGAAATATTCAATACCAATCGACCTTGAGCAGCTTATTCTGACATGAATATTTCATATCCCAAATAAAGTCCTGTCAGAACTACAGATGATCAGTATAAGAGCTATTAGTTTCTGAAACGCGTCCAAAAGTCATTGCCAACAGATAACGGGCATCAGATGACAGGTGCTGATTAGAAGGGGTCTGTATTTAGGGATGCATGATATATCAGTGCCCTCTTGACCGATACAAGCTCATTTCCATAACATCTAACACTTTAAAACATTAATGTTAAATGTTACTGTAAACGGTAACACGTTACAATAAGGTTCATTAGTTAACATTACCTTAGTTAACATGAACTAAGAATGAACAATGCTTCTACAGCATTTATTAATCTTTGTTAATGTCAACATTTACTAATAGGCTACATTATTGAAATCAAAGGTTGTAATTTGTTAACATTAGTTAATGCACTGTGAACTTACACAAACAAACAATGAACAGCTGGATATTATTAACTATCATAAACAAAGATTAATCAATATTGTAACAAATGTATTGCTCATTGTTAGTTCATGTTAGTTAATACATTACAATAAGGTTCATTAGTTAACATTAGTTAAAGTGTTACCATGTAACTTTAGTAAATCTCATAATGAATATCAATTTTTTTATACTGTATGTTATATCAGAATATTTATAGGCTACTGTTTATAAGTTTGGGGTCAGTGAGATTTTTTTCTTCCAAAGAAATTAATACTTTTATTCTGCAATTAAATGGATCGAAAGTGACAGTAAGACATTTATAATGTTACAAAATATTTCTATTTCCAATAAATGCTGTTCTTTCTATTTATCAAAGAATCCTGAAAAAAAGTGTATAACTGTTTCCACAAAAAAACAAACATTGTTTTTAACATTGATAATAATCAGAAATGTGTCTTGAGCAGCAAATCAGCATATTAGAATGATTTCTGAAGGATCATGTGACTCTGAAGACTGGAGTAATGATGCTGAACATTCAGCTTTGCCTGAATATATACAGAAATAAATTGTTTAAAATATATTTTAACACTTTTTTTAATCAAATAAATTCAGCCTTGGTGAACAAAACTTAAAAAAAAAATCTTACCAACCCTAACGTTTCAATGTTAGTGTACAAAACATGCAGAACAAGGGAAAGGGAAAGAGAGAGCCAAGAGAGAATAAAAACATTTCACAATCTTATCTGAACTGTTACCTTTTTCTTTTCCAGTTAACTACTTTTAATCCTTTTTTTTACCCAAGATCAAATGTTGGTTAGAAAAATACACCCCATTATACAAAAAAAACAAAACAAATTTAGATAAAGAAAATGCAAGATGACCCCGCTTCAGTCTCTGCAATGCAATAATCCTTTTTTAACGCTTTTCACAGGAACTACTCAAGCTACCACGCTTCGAGAGCCATGTACTTTTCCACGCTTACGCAACTAGGCACTTGAGCATTAAATGTGTCAGGGGAATCTATGAAAAATGAATGAAAAAGAGCATGAGAACTATTTTTACAGTCTTTTGGACTCATGTGACTATCCAATCTGCCAGTTCTCCTAAAGATCAACTCAGCATCTACAAAAAGTACCTAATTATGAATAATTACATGTTTTTCCAAACACAGACAGTCTGGTGCGTTGGCACTTGAGTTGACTGGGCGGGCACATGTGTGGAAGTGCTGGGAAGATTGTGGAAGTGGGACAGACTGGATGGAAGTTGTGGTTCGTGCCGCTTCAGCATCCAAATGGCTTGTTTTTGCTTAAGTTACTAGGCTATTTATATAATAAATTCTATCCGGATTATTTTATGCCTGTTCATGCTATTGTTTGCAATGGCTTTAATCCAACCACGGACACCGTTCCATCCCTCTTTTTCCTTCCCAACTGGTTTGAAAGTTATTCCACCCTTGTTGTCCAATTCCAAAGCAACCGCTCACTAAACTCTTCCTTTAAGATCCAGGCCAAGATCTCTGCTTGATGTTTTCTGGCCTAGATCCCCCCCACACACACACACACCACACACACACACACCATTCCCTCACCTCCCCCAACCAGCATCTCCTGACAAACACTATTGCTCAGCGGCTATTGTTTAAATTGCCACGGCAACCTGGAAAACACTTGCAAAGCAACAACGAGCTTCGTCCAACAATGCTGAAAGTCACACGTCTGCTCCTTCTTCCTGTTCCTTCCCTTCATTTATATGTTCAGCAGCTTGCACTGCCACAGTTGTCGGCATGTTTACTGATGGCTGCTGCTTTGTGTTTCTGAAACACTCAGGTTTTATGAAATATGACACAGAAGACAAAACACAGCTATACTTTGCATGGAAAATCTGCCTGGATTCCCAACTTGCATCTGAGACACTAAGGCTAGTGAGTAACTTATTTGGAGCACTGAAAAAAATACCACATTTATCAAAACAAATGGTTTTTAGATGCAGTTGTTTAGTTTAGAAAAACTATTTCAAGATGAAGAGAAGGATTCTCATTTTTTTCCTTTGATTTTGTACTGGAAAGGTACTGAAACTCAAAACGTGTCTCAGTCACTGCCTATCTAAAGGTGTGAGGAGGATCACTGTTAAAGGGATAGTTCACCCAAAAAAAGAAAATGATGCTATCTATCATAGCCTATATGTAGTTTTCAAACCAGTATTACTTTTTTTTTGTCAGTGGAACACAAAATATGTTTTTTAGAATGTCCAAACACAAAGTTTTCATATGTCTTTCAAGAAGATTTGAAAGAATTGAGTGATGTGTACAGTATGAACTACTTAAAGCTGCTGTAGGTAACTTTTGTAAAAAATATTTTTTACATATTTGTTAAAACTGTCATTATGTCCTGACAGTAGAATATGAGACAGATAATCTGTGAAAAAAATCAAGCTCCTCTGGCTCCTCCCAGTGGTCCTATTGCCATTTGCAGAAATACACGCTCCCGGTCAGAAACAACCAATCAGAGCCAGGAGGAATGTCTTAGCAGTGTCAATCACGCTCGTGTACGCGCTGATCACACCCCTCTCTTGCACAGCGCAAGCCGTCGTTCAAACCAAACTCAAGATTGCCGGCGTGCTGCAGCTGTGCTAATGGCGGAGAAACAACCTAAACTGCCAATTCTCGAGTGACACCTGCTCATAAAACAAAGAGGTAAAAGGAAAAAGACCGATGACGATAAACAAGCGAAAAAGAAAGAATTACACAGAGCCCATTGACTCGGTGTCAAAACTCTAGTCGCATAACATGTAGATAAAATGTCACGCACTCTGCTAAGCAACAATTGAAACCTGCTAATTCACTGGCTTGTCATGTTGCTGAAATAATGTACTAGCACACCTTATCTAGCATTATATATCGCTAGAATAATTACTTACATACTGTAACGTTAGTTACCGTTATATTAACGTTATCTTACTAGCTATTTATAACCTATAGAAAGAGTGCAACGTTATAAAGTTAGATGTAGGCTATTGCAAAATACATAATGATTTGAGGACCAAGTTTGTAGTCAAAGTATGGGCAGGCCATAGTCAATGTAAAGCATATTGTTGACGTTTAGTCCCTATTAGTGAATGTGCCATATGATATAACTTTTTATCCGCTGTTATCGGTGGCCCTGTTTACTAGCCTGCGTGTTCACGGCAGGCTCCGCTGTGGGGGAGGAGCTGTGGAGGGAGGGCTGTAGCGCAGCAGAGAGCAAAAGGGGGTGGGACCTGTAAGTTGTGCTTGTTCAAATTTTCAGGCTAAGTCAACGTTTTCTCAAAACTCCCTACTGCAGCTTTAAAAGTACTCTTGAAGTTTTATACAACAATTATTCCCGGTCCTCAAATCTGATTGGTCGAGCAGCTTTCCAGGAGTGCTGATATTTACGGTAGTTCAACAGCAGTGGGACGTTTCTTTTATTTGTACCCGCTTTTTTCCTACGCCCCAATTTGCGCGAATTATGGGAGTAACTTAGCCTGGGTTTCCCCATGCTGCCTTTGCACAGCGCGATTTTATCCACGCTGCTAGGCAGTCTGGATACCATGGACCAGATTTTCGCCTCAGCGAGGGGACCAATCACAGAACGGGGAGGGAGCAGCAAGACGATGACGACGTCTATGCGACACACCGAAGCAGTTTGTTTATACCTATGGATCAAACATGGCAGCAGACGCGAAGTTACCTTTCGATGCAGCCTTAGATACATACGCCATCGTGTACACATAAGTCTCTGACCCATCGTCTTCTTCCTCGTCTAATTTCTGTTGCTCTACATACGTCATCTGGTATAATTGAAACGATTGGCTAAGAGTTTGAAGTTGTACAGGCGCATTTGATAGACATTCGTAGCACCCAATAAACGGCTCTGGGCATTCGTAAACCACACCTCAAATACGAGAAAATGACCACGTCTCAATCTCAATGAGACGTGGTCTGACGTTAGCCAGGCTAGGAGTAACTTTCCGTTAAGCGGAAAACAATCAGCGAAAGGTTTGCTTTATGAGCGCAATAAGCATTCTCAAAAAACTGAGTACAATAAGATGACATTATTCGACTCACCCTTCAACCATCGAACATTAAAAGGAAATTTAAAAGTGTATAAATAAATAAAAAGCGGGGAAAACATGATCAGGAGGAAAATAATGCAGCGACTGAAAAGAGCTCTTTCCATAGATATTCTTGTTATATGTGCATTAAAATACCAAGCGTTACATTATTCTTGTGACGTCTGCAAATAGAAAATTAAGGAAATATTACAGCTCAATCAGTCAAACTGACGGATAATGATTATTCATGACGCAACCTTATGATTTGGAATGATTTCTTTCAGTCTTTTTGAGTGAAACTTCTCCAAACCGGAAGTGCCTCCCATAATCTAAATCGCAGGAGTATCGTTAGGAAAAAGGTGAATACTTCCACTTGTCTGTGACTTTGGTGACTCACAAAGCTTGATGCTTTGGCTTCTTTTAGAACTATTTTCATTGGAGACAATTGAACTAACTGGCCAATTTCAGACGGAATCATAAGCACAGTCAAATCAGCTGTGATTACCTGAGGCAAAATCATAAGTTATGTTCTCTATTTGAATTTTAAAATGTAATTTACTCTTGTGATGACAAGTTTGAATTTTCAGCAGCCATTACTCTAGTCTTCAGAAATCATTCTAATATGCTGATTTGCTGCTCAATAAACATTTCTAATAATTTTTCAGTTGAAAACAGCTGTGGAACTTAATATTTTTGTTGAAACTGATATTCTTTTCCAGGAAAAAAACCCGGCATTTATTGGAAACAGTATTTAGTCACACTGTAAATGTCTTTGACTTTGTCACTTTTGGTCAATTTAATGCGTCCTTGCTGAATAAATTTTTTTTTAGCGTATGTGCTTTCATTGTACAGAAAAAAAGAAGCACGAACTTTGTGCTCCATGGAAGAAAAAAAGTCATACGCGTTTGAAAAAAAAAGAAAAAAAAAGTAGATATCGTGACAGAAATGTAATTATTTTGGGTGAACTATTCAAAATAAACCAGACTGGTTATGTAATCTGGCCAGATATAATCCAAGGCGAGTCATAGTTACTTTCATTGCTATCACAGATATCTCTCAGGGAGATAAACGACTCTAAATGTTAAACACTGTGGCACATTCTCTTGACAAGAGTCTACAGATGCTATTGTAATCTGAAGCCTGAATACTAGATTACATTTCCAGTAAGACATTCTCAATGCATTTCAATACACAACTAATCAGATTACACATTATGATACAAAGTTGCAAACACATGGCAGTAGCAGATAACACAGTCATTCAATGGTACACAAGCGTCCAAGTCTGAGTACGTCGTGAGTAACAAACATCTACGAAAACAGTGAACACAAGCACCCACCACTCTCTTGTAGATCTCTGCTGCCCAGATGTCACGATGCTCGTCGCTCAGGGGTGTAAATCTTATCAATGTTTTTCTGTCTCCAGACAACACTCAATCTGAACGAATCTACCATCCGAGACAATATGAAACGATACAGGGCTTTACTTAGTCCAACTCGGACCGAGCTTCTGTGCGTACAATCGCAGTTTAAGGGGGGCGTCCGTCTGAGGAAGAGGAGGAGGAGGAGGAGGAGGAATACCCCCCATCTGCTCTGCTGTTCTAGACCTCAGATAGCGCACCAGCCAATCAGCGCGCGCTCCGACGCCCCTTTGTTCGCGCGCTGCCCCTTTAGCGCTGAAGAACATGCGTTCTGTGGGGAATCCCAAAACAATAGCCCACTAAAGAGGAAAAGAAGGAACACAAGCTTCATTTTACCCGTATTAACATGTGTGACTAAATACGCAAAAGGCTCAAATAACCCAAACAGAGCCTGCTTTATAGACTTGTGAACTATAACTAACTTTTTATTAGTTAAATAATCCTGGAAAATGTATCACGTGTCCACAATGCAACAAAAACTATTTTCAACACTGATAATAATAAGAACCATTATTAATAACGGAGCACCAAATAAATATATTAGAATGATATCCGAAGGATAATCATGTGACACTCGAGAGTGGAGTAATAGCTGCACAAATAAAAATAAAATAAAATCAGCATTGCCATCACAGGAATTAATTACATTTTAAAATAGGCTACATTAAAATAGAAGTTATTTTAGATTGTTTAATTCTTTTTTTATATATGCCTGCACGGGAATTAATTACGTTTTGAAAAAGGCTATTAAAATATAAGTTATTTTAAATTGTAATCATTTTTTTTTTTTTTTTTTTTATGCCTGCAGTTTGTTTCACTGGTTTATTCAAGGAGTAAAACATTTCTCATTCAGCAGTGGAAAATTTGGAAACAAATGGGTTAATGATGCTGACAGTGAGGATTAGATCATCATGGGTCATCGGGTCAGAAAATGAGCAAATCTGAGCTGGGAATGACTGGTATCGTTTTAATCTCTTCTTGTCATCTGCTACCCTCTGATCTCCCCATCTGTTCAGAACACAGTTAAAGGGTTAATAAAGCCTAAACAGCTCTAAAGTGTTTTGGGAGCTCAGGATTAAAAAAAGATTTAAAACTAATAGTGCGAAGTAAAAAGGACAAATTATTTTGTTCATATCTAAATATTGTGTTTTTATTGTTTTCTCTGTGTTTAAGGTTTTGTCCAGACATATTCACCATTAGACACTTCTTGTAGGCCTGTAATATATCATATGATAAATGGTGATTCCTATATTCATAACATAGTTTTGTAACAAAATAATAGTTTTTTCAAACAAATGTAATTTTACTCAGTTTATTAATGTTTTTACTCCACAGTTGTGCAGTTTTTGTTTTTTTATAATAAAAAAAAAACAGCGTTTTATGTCAAATTAACTTATAAAAGACCCCCATTTCTAACTTGACATGGTTTAGTTTAATATTTTTGCCCGTCTTCTAGAAAATGCAGTTTTAAAAGTAAAAAATTATCACTTTAACCAGTAGATGGCTGCAGAGCTCCACTACTTGCTATTTGACTAACTGAAAGACATCTTTTCACAAGTTTTTTTTTCCAGTTGGATTCATATCTACATATTCTGAAATCACAATTATAACAATAAAAATGACTTTTTGTCAAACAATTCATTATGATTAGAATCAACCCTGAACAAGATGTTACAAAGAGAAAAGTTGGAGTCTTTAGAGTTTATCATTTATTTCAAACATCTGTTTTTCATAAAATTCTACAAATTTAAACACTGTAAAAAAAATAATCATGGGTCTTGTAATTTTAAGAGAATTAGCTCAATTATGCGGTTTTATTTAGAGACACCATTGTTAGTTCCCAGCATGCTTTGCACATGGCTGGAAATGGAATATTGAAATTAAGTGTTATTTTATGTTTTTGAGTAAAGGGAAACATCTGTTAATGTTTAATGTTCAGTTATGTTTGACATTTGAAAGTTTCTATTTTGTTGAAGTTTTGATCATTACCATTGTGCAGAAGAGTAGGGCTTATGGTTAGGTTGTGAATAACTGCATGTAATGATTTTCTGAAGCATGTTCATTGAGCAACAGCTTTGCTATAATGCCAGTGTAGTAACAAATTTGATTCTGTGCTGTGCTAGCAGCATACAATATTTTAATTATGCAATATAACTCATTGTCAAATACAGACAGGATATTTCCATTCACTCGAATTCACAAATTTTTGAGCGTCAACTTAAAATAAAAAAGCATATTGCACTAAAAACATATATCAAATTCATTGTGTCATAGACTAAATAATTTAGGGGATTTTACATGATTTATTTAGGTAGATTCCATGAAAGAAATCAAGCCTTAACTACTCAAAAAAAAAAAAAGATGGTAACAATATTACACATAATATTTTTAAGTAAATAGCAGTACATTTTTTTTACAGTGAAGTGTGCCACTGTCTATGTGTGTTCTGCGTTGTTTCCGATTTTGAGGATACATTTTGTCCGTTTTCTAAGCGGGGTCAGACAAATGGAAACAATTAATTTGATTCTAATCATAAATGTAACATTATTGAAAAACTTTTTTTCAGTACAAAAAAAAAAAAGCTAAACTTTGACAAAAAGTAACTTTTATTGGTATAATTGTGATCTCATAATATGTAGATATGAATCCAATTGGAAAAACTTGTGAAAATATGTCTTTCAGTTAGTCAAATAGCAAATAGTGGAGCTCTGCAGCCATCTACTGGTTAAAGTGATCATTTTTTACTTTTAAAGTAACACTATGCAGTTTTTCAACCTTCATAATATATTTCCAAGACCCTTGTGATGGTACATCGACTTACAATAGGTTAAATGACACGTCTTGCCATAGCCTGACGTGGTCTGTATCGCTTTTACTTGCACTATGTAACTTCGGGTTTCGGGTAGTAACCGGAGCACAAAAAGAACTACAAAATTCAACTGCTTTATGGCATACGTCACTTCCCCACCACTTCCTCAAATTGTCTGTTGCCATTGTTGATTCCAAAGCCGGTGCTGGATAATCAGCGAGCGTGCGCAGGCGACAGTAGGCTAAATTATTTACGACAGCGGTAATGGACAATTCTGCTTCCAACCTGTAGGGCGACCGCAGAGGAAAAGTTCCTTGGTGTTGCTTTAAAACTGCATTTTCCAAAAGATGGGCAAAAATATTACACTAAACCATGTCAAATTATCAATGTTATCCCCATGAATGCAAGTTAAAAATGTGGGTCTTTAAGTGAAGTTTACATAAAAAGCTGTTTTTGTAAAAAATATTTCTAAATGTATATAATAAATCTAAAAAATATAAAAAATCCTCCAAAAACTGCACAAATGTGGAGTAAAAACATTAATAAAATGAGTAAAATTACATTTGTTTTTATTTTGTTACAAAATTACATTCAGATATCATTCTAATAAATGTTTTTATCTGTAAATCTAGAAAGTGTTGACAAACAAAGTCTCATGCCATTTGGACAAAGATAATTTTTATTTTTTATTTTAGCAAACGTCATTTGGTGTCAAAAAGACCCCGAACAGCGCACAAGGGTTAAGTTGTGTGTGACTAATCATGTTAACTCAAGACTGTTACGGTTAACACACACACCGGGCTGATGATGGGAGAAGCAGAAGTGAAGCACAGATATGTGTAACCTGATATACTTAATGAGTTTTCAAGATCAGACTGAAGAGAGAACTGCATTTTTTTTTAGTCACCTAAAAAGATAGTAACTCAATCTTTCATTTGAAATGCAATTTTAGTTTTTCCACCCGATACGCTTAACTAGTAATCATTAAAATAATTATTTTAAAATCTATTATTATTATTAAAGGTGCAGTAAGCAATTTCTGAGAAACACTGTTGATATTTGAAATCACCAAAACAAACACACCCCTGACCAAAATGGTCTCACCCCTATCTTGATAGTTTCACCCCCAAATTCACAAACCCGCTATGCAACACAGGCACCTCCCCCCTAATGAGTGGATATGCCCCTTACTGCTGATTGGTTACAAGTGAGTTTTGGTGCTCCATCCGATCCATTTTCAACAGCATTTCTCAGAAATTGCTAAATTGCTTACTGCACCACCCTCATGTGGTGTTCGGGTCAATTTGACCCGGAGAAGATTTTCTTTTTCCCGAAAATACTAGTTAATGTTATCGCTTTGGACTGAAACTTAGTGACTTTGTTCCCAAACGGTTTAACTAAATCTCAGGTTTTTTTTGAAATTTTTCTTATTTTTTTGTGGGAGTTTTGTTACCTTGTTACACTTGTGGTGTTCCCGGTCAAAAATGACCGGCCTATAAAAAATAGCTTATAAGTCACTCATTATACCATATTTTCACCCAATCTTGGATTCAATCTTTTTGTCAACTTGTTCTCTTTCAATTAGGACTGGTTTTATATTTCTGTTTGCATCTGATTAATCGTGGGCCTCATTTGTCTGAAAGTAGGCATCTCATTTTTTGAGTAAAAAACAAATAATTTATGAGTAAATTTGGAAATATGAAAAAAAAAATGAAAAAAATGGCTACTGTTGATCACACTAGTCTACTCTAATGTTTCACCAAGAATTTTGTTTTGAAACTTTTGTTTTGTAAAAAATATGGCACATAGTCACACTTGTGGTGTTCCCGGTCAAAAATGACCGGCCTATAAAAAATAGCTTATAAATCACTCATCATACCATATTTTCACCCAATCTTGGATTCAATCTTTTTGTCAACTTGTTCTCTTTCAATTAGGACTGGTTTTATATTTCTGTTTGCATCTGATTAATCGGGGGCCTCATTTATCTGAGAGTGGGCATCTAATTTTTTTAGTAAAAAACAAATAATTTATGAGTAAATTTGGAAATATGAAAACAAAAATATGAAAAAATGGCTACTGTTAATCACACTAGTCTACTCTAATGTTTCACCAGGAATTTTGTTTTGAAACTTTTGTTTTGTAAAAAATATGGCACATAGTCACACTTGAGGTGTTCCCGGTCAAAAATGACCGGCCTATAAAAAATAGCTTATAAATCACTTATAATACCATATTTTCACCCAATCTTGGATTTAATCTTTTTGTCAACTTGTTCTCTTTCAATTAGGACTGGTTTTATATTTCTGTTTGCATCTGATTAA